TTCTTGAAAGATTCTTGCCAACAATCAACATATCATCAACATATAGCAATAAAATAACAAAATCTTCATTAGAGAATTTCTGCACAAATACACAATGGTTAGAAGTAGTCTTCTTGTAGCCTTGCTCCCCCATAACTAACTCAAACTTCTTATACCACTGTCTAGGTGCCTGCTTTAAACCATAAAGAATTTTCTTTAGCTGACTGTGATATTCCCGAATTTTCGAATGCGGGTTGGCCAGGCCCACGCCCGAATACCCGAGGATATCAAAACAAATTGATAATAAACGAACACAGAGTACAAAAGAATAAAGAAGAATAAATAAAATGCTGACAAGAAACTAAAATGATAATCTAATAATAAACCTCATAATATATTTCCATTAATTAATAAACTCTTCTAATACAACTGATCCCCCAAAATACAACTCGGGAATCCATACTATGTGGACCCCTAGAAAATCCAAACTAAACAAATGACAGTAATCTAAAACAGGAAACTGAATCATAAAGGAACTCCTATGTAGCATCGGAAGAATGAAGTAGACTGATCCCCGCTCAGCACGAACAACCTCTACTCGTGACGAACACCTGAAAAATAATGGTGGGTCAAGCCCACAAACAAGTTCTACTCTACTACAGTCCAAGCAGAGATCCGATACATGTATACATCCTAGTCAATCCAACAGTAACTAGTAGTCCGTATATATATATATATATATATACACACTAAAGGAACCTCACTAGACTATAGGGTTGTCTCAACCTGAATAGTAGGCAACATGCAAAACGCACATATAGTGGACATGAGTACCTAGACCTATCAGGGTACACAACTACACTATATCTAGCTACACATCCATGGCGATATACGCGCCCTAACCATTGATCCTGAGACTCAAGCTCATATCATGGCACCATACTTTTATATATAAAATCTAGTAACCATCCTATCCAGTATAAATTAATCCTCCATAAGTCATTCAACTTGTTCAGCTGACCTGACTTGAATATAAGTAGGACTTAACATTTTAGTTAATCCATTCCCTTATATAATAAATTAATCATCCATAAGTCATTCAATTTGTTCAGCTGACCTGACTTAAATATAAGTAGGACTTAACATTTTAGTTAATCCATTCCCTTATATAAAATAGGTAGGACTTAACTAATAAGTTAATCCATCCCTAGAATGCCACTGTCCCATACCGGTGCATTAAACCACACAATCCAACAATTGATGTAACAATTAAGGAAATACATCAAACATTCCATAAATAACTATGATAAATATGATATCACGTTATCACATAATAGGAATGACTTATTATTTCTTTAAACTTCCTATATCATATGTCCTACACAAACTGAATCTTATACATGATGATATTTTATTATACCGTTAAATAAGGATTCTCCATATCCAATTCATCATACACATTTAATCTCAATTGCTAAAATATTTTAAAAGATTAAATCCATTCGTTTGTTTAAAACATTCAAATAGCAAGTATCATTATGATTGAGTCTATTTAAATTTATTAAAACCCAAACCTAATCCCTATTTAATGTTCAAAAATCTTAGGCATGTTTCTACGTTCCATCATTCCACAGGTATAAAAAATACATAATTTAAACATGTAAAAATTCACATAAGAAATCAAATCAAAATCATGCATTTTATCAATTCATAACACAAGAACAGATATGAACCAATTTCATAAAACCTATGTTCTAACCCAATTAAACATGCATAATTATTTAATTTTATGTGTTTAATAAATTCTGGAATTTCCTAGGCATGTACAGAAACACGAATCAAAGGGAAAGAGATAGAAGAAGAACTTGCCTTAAACTTTCGGATTGAAAGTTAAATTTCTTCTTCCTTGATCTTCTCTCTAAAGGGTTTTCTCCTCCTTCCTTCCTATTTCTCTTTCTCTCTCTAACTCTCTCTCTCTAGAATATATTACGTGATATATTTTCACTCCTTTTTCAACCTATAGTTGTGTATTTATAGGCTAAATAATAACCATATTCCTTTTCCCAATCCAAGTCAACTTAATAAAAAAAAATAAAAATAAAAATATTAAAAAGGTAACTTAAAATATGTTACGTATATAATCTATGTATATCCTTATTAATTAAATAAAATATATACATTAGATTATTTAGTAATACTAAAGTTACCATAATATTAAAAGGTAACTTAAAGCATGTTACGTATATAATCTATCTATATCCTCATTAAATAAATAAAATATATACATCAGATTATTTATTTATACTAAAGTTACCATAATATTAAAAAGTAATTTAAAACATGTTACGTATATAATCTATCTGTATCCTCATTAAATAAATAAAATATATACATCAGATTATTTATTTATACTAAAGTTACCATAATATTAAAAAGGTAACTTAAAACATGTTACGTATAAAATATATGTATATCCTTATTATATAAATATATAAAATATATACATCAGATTATTTACTTTCCTTTTTATATATATGTATATACATATATATTTATATATATACATATACAACTATCCATGGGTAATTATCCATACCCATCGAACCTCCTATCCAAGTAGTCCATGGGACCCAATTAGTTAGCCCATTACCACTAATCATAACCATAAAATAAAATAAAATAAAATATTTAATCATTTAATTTATAATTAATTACAATTAATCAAATACATCATTTAAGCACACAATCTAATTAAACAAATAATACAAATAACACCTAGACAAAATACAAATAACACATAGATAAGTAGCCAATTAATCAAGTAACACTTAATTCAATTAAACACATAAACAATTAGTCAAATAATCAATTAAACAATTAAAAAAAATACAATAAAAATAAATATATAAATACCGAGACTATCCTTTTAAAATTAGGGGTATTACACTGACACACATAATCCTCTTTTCCTTTCACCCTGAAACCCTCTAGCTACTCCATATAAATCTCCTCCTCCAAGTCACCATGAAGGAAGATAGTTTTCACATCCATTTGTTCAGTCTCTAAGTCTAGGCTAGCTACTAAGCCAAGAACCACACGTATGGAAGACATTTTCACAACTGGGGCGAAAATCTCATCAAAATCAATGCCTTTTCTCTGACTGAATCATTTGACAACTAGTCTAGCTTTGTACCTTGGCCGTGAAGTGTGTTCTTTTTGCTTTACCCTGTAAATCCACGTGTTCTTTAAAACTCTTTTTCCTTTAGGCAACTTCACCAGCTGAAAGGTGTGATTGTTATGTAATGACTGCATCTCATCTTGCATTGCATCAACCCATTCTGTCTTATGTTCATCTTCTATGGCTTCTGCATAACACTCAGGTTCTCCCCCATCAGTCAGTAACACATACTCATTTGTAGAATACCGAGTGGAAGGGTGTCGGTCTCTGATAGACTTCCTGAGTGGAACATCAAGTGGTGTCTCTGGTACTGGCAACTGACCAATCTCAATCTGTAAAGGAGCTTCACTGTCATCTGGACCCTGCTAGTCATCCTGAGCATCATGTTCAACATGTGCTGGAACATCTGTTGAAGAAATTGGATCCAAGTCAATCAAACCATCATCGTACTGAGGCACTGCTTTCTTTGTTTTTTCAATATCTTGTATGATTTGATCTTCCTTAAACACAACATCTTTACTTCTCACTAGTTTCTTATCAACTAGATCATATAACCTGTTTAGCGCCATAGCCTAAAAAGATGCACTATCGGGTTTTCACATCAAGCTTAGACCTCTCATCTTTGGGAATATGCACAAAAACCTTACACCTAAAGACACGCAAATGATTATAAGAAACATCATTGCCAGTCCAAACTTTGTCAGGTACATCTAACTGAAGAGAAGTACATGGTGTGATTTTAAGAACATGTACAACTGTACTCAAAGCTTCACCCCAATAGGATCTTGGTAATTGTGCCTGTGAAAGCAAGCATCTCACTCTCTCAATTAGTGTCTTTTTCATTCTCTTAGTTAAACCATTCAACTGAGGTGTCTTGGGAGGCATCTTTTGATGTCAAATACTCTGTTGTCTGCAATAGTCATCAAAAGGACCTATGTACTCTCCCTCATTATCTGTTCTGATGCACCATAGTTTATTTCCAGTCTGCCTCTCAACTAAAGCCTGAAACTGTTTAAACACATCCAACACTTGATCTTTTCTTCTCAAGGTATACACCCACAATTTCCTTGAATGATCATCTATGAAGGTCACAAAATAACGAGAGCCAACGAGTGACATCATCTTCATTGGGCCACAGACATCTGAAGGTATTGAGTCAAGTATACCTGGCTTTCTTGAAGGAGGGGAACTCTTGAAAGAAACTCTATTTTGCTTCCCTACCAAATAATGAGTACACTTTTTCAAAGATGCACTCTTAATTCTTGACAAAGATTCTTTTTAGCTAACATTGTCAAGCCTTTCTCACTCATGTGAGCAAGCCTCTTGTGCCACAACTCAACTGAGTGCTCATCCTCCATTACATTAATAATGTCTTTAGAGATTCTTACCTGCAATACGTACAAACTAGAAAACTTCTTGCCTCGAGCAACTATCATTGCACCCCTGGTGAGCTTCCACTGGCTATTACTGAAGGAGCTGCAACAACCCTCATCATCAAGTTTGCCTGCAGAAATCAAGTTCAAGCGGATGTCTGGAATATGCCTTACATCTTTAAGGACCAATCCCGTGTCATTATTCATTTCCAAGCACACATCTCCAATACCAATGATTTCGGCCAAGCCATCAATTCTCATCTTTACTGTCCCAAAGTCACCTTGTGTATAGGATGTAAAGGCATCCTCTCGAGATGTAGCATGAATAGAGGCACCACTATCAATAACCTAGCTGGTCTCATGGCATGCAATATTAATAGCATCATCACCATAAACAACGAGGAAGTCTACAGAAGTAGTGGTGGCAACTTGATCATCATCATTCTTTTTCTCATTACCTTTCCCCAGATATGATTCTGGAAAATTTGGTTTCACTTTCTGAATTTGTTCGATTTGGTGCGGTTTGCAAACCATGGCAGTCTGTGGCAATGGAGAACAAACTTAAATTTGTTCAAAATAAGTTTTCCACACAAGTTCCATTCTTGATAGTGCCTTTGAAAGATAATAATGTCACCGAACGACGCAATCTATACAGCATTACTCATAATAAGCTATATGATTTTCAATTACGGGTACCTTACAAAGAGAGGCTTTGTGGTTCCTCACATGGTTGGCTGATTGGTATAGAAAAATCCTCGAGCGTAACTCTAATGAATCCGTTCTCTGGCTCTACAATAGAGCTTCCTCCAATTGATAGTGTGGTCTCAACAAGCATAAATCTGATTTCCTTTGAAGTTACAAAAGTTATATTGTCAGCTGATCCTACTTCATCTCCTAATGACTATATTGTCGCCACCATCTATGGCATTAGTTCTACCCTGGCATTTATTCGGGCAGGAGATGAAGCTTGGACTTGCATAGAGAAAGAGAGATTTAGGTGATTTGGTGATGTCATATATTATAAAGGCCGGATTTTTGCAGTTGATAGTCATATAATCCTAATGATTAATGTTAATAGAATGGCTAGTGCTCTGCAAGTGGAGGAAAAGGAAATTTCACCGCAAATTATTGATACTGAACTCATGTATCTTGTCGAATCATCTAGTGGGGAATTACTTCTTGTACAAAGGCTTTTAGAAATTGGAGACGATTCACAACATGCAACTTTAGGGTTTAAGGTTTTTAAGATGCTCTTAGACCAATTTGAGGAGGGTTCGCATATGTTGGTTGAAGTGAAGGACTTGGGTGGAGATACCCTGTTTTTGGGAGATAATCATTCCATTTGTGTTTCAGCTTCCAAATGGCCCGGATGTGAACCTAATTCAATATACTATACAGATGATTATATTGACTATATATGCTATCCCCCATCTGGGCGCCGTGACATGGTTATCTTCGACATAGTGAATGGAAGTTTTGGGATGCATTTCTTCCTTAATCCTTCACATAACGATATGCTACCCTCAATTTGGATTGTCCCAACTGTGTTGGGAAGTTCAGTATAGACTTAATTTGTTTCAGATGTCTTTTGATCAATCTAATTTATTTAGTTTTTTTTTTTTTTTTTTTTTTGCTCATCATTTTTATGTGATGAAAAAATCTATTTTTATCTCTTGCTGTAGCAAATGTGAGATCAAGTTTGTAAGACATAATTAAACATTTTTGTTGGTTTTTCTCAAATTTTATGGTATTATAAATATTTCTGAGTTACTGTCTTTTTCCTTATAAGAAATTTATTGTCATCATGAATATTCCTTGAAATGAGGGTTGGAAATAACATTGCATCATAATTCTTGATGGTTAAAGTGTCCTTGTAATGCAATCCAGCTCTCATCTATTGTGCTGTCTGTAGTCCTTTGGCCAAGTATTAGGACCATATTTTTTATATTTGATTTGCTGGGTTGCACCAAGTAGCCTTGCTCGATTTCTGGTTACATGGTATGGCAAGTAGCCTTCGTTTGGTCATTTTGCGCATATATATATATATATATATATATATATATATATATATGCATGCATCATATGAAAATTTTCTATATAATAGTGATTTGCTTGCTACCAATAAAACAGAGGAAGAGTTAAAACAAACAATTCTTAGCAGTGATTCCAATTCAGATGTTGTTAGATTCAAAATTATATTTTCCATAAGCTTTGGAGGCTAAAACAAAATGAAAAGAAAATAAACAAAAATATTATCTAATATGAAACACTATTATGATAAAGTAGTAGAATAAGTGTAATGTGTTAATATATTCTAACGTATTGAACTTTTTTATTTTTGAAAAAAAATAATCACAAGCAAAACAGTAAATGATAGTTGTTCATTTAAAATAAAAATACTATTATGATAAAGAAGTGGAATAATTGAATCTATGATACACTCTTAGTATAAAAATTAGAAATGAATTTACGTTTTATAATACTATTATTCAATAGATGTATATAAATAAAATTTAAAATTTAAAACACATTTTTTAGGCTCGTTTAGTAAACGAGCCGAGCTTGAGCAACGCTAAGCTCGCTCGTTAGGCTCGTGAACAGGCTCGTTTAATAAAATAATTAATTTTTATTTTATTTTATTTTATACTAATATATAATTGTGTGGCCCATTTAATATAATACCAATCTAAATACCTATTCATTAGCCCATTTTCATTTAACTTAAGCCCGATTCACCTTAAGCCCAAATCTACTTAACCTATTACCCTATCATCATCATCATTATATATATATATATATATATATATATATATATATATATATATATATTATCTATCTTTATATCAGGGGTTCGTTTTTATAACAGCCGCAAAATCACTTCTTCCTCTCTATCATGCTGTTGCAACATCGCTTCCTCCTCTCTAACACGCCATCGACTGTCTCCAACAAATCTCTGTAATATCTGCTATTAAACCCTAAACAAATCTTGCAACATCACTCCTCTAATCCCATCCCTTTCAACATCAATACAGCATCATGGAGGGTTTCCAATAGATCTCTCTCTCAAAATCTCCTTTTGGGTCTCGATATCTCAATCCCATTTTAATGTAAGGAAGATCAAAAGAATGATCGGAGAGCTCTTTTAATCCATCGTCAAAACAGTACCAGATCTAAAGCTTTTTGGTTTTTTCCTTTTTTTTTTTTTTTTTTTTCATTTTGGCTTGAAGGCGAGCTCGAGCCGAGCCGAACCCAAGCTTGCCAAAATATTGGCGAGCCGAGCCTGAGCCTAGTTTGGCCAAACTCGCCTGAGCCGAGCCCAAGCCTGAGCACCCTCCTGAAACTGGCGAGCCGAGCCCGAGCAAGGTAAAGCTCGGCTCGGCTTATTTGCAACCCTACTTCCAGTTGCAAAAATATAGGAGATATATGTCGCTCAATTATTTCTCTCTTTTCTTTGAGAAAATAAAGAATTCACCATTTACGAGAAACAATATGTGATATATATTTTTGTAATTGGCACATTTCAGTAACAAAACAAGTTCTAGTTTTCGTTAACATATCAGAATCGACATCGACCGCGGAATTCAAAGGTTGTTCAGAAGATGAGAGTACTGTTAATCATCGAAAAGGAAAGAACAACACATTAGGACTTTTTTTCCCACTTAAGACAAAAATACCTATATGGTATATTTTTCAGAGTCTCCAAAAATAGAAAATCCAAGTTCAAATTGGATTCTGTCAAGTGGGAACCGGTACCTAAATTTGGGAACCGGTTCCGAAAGCTGAGATTCGAGAACTCCATTCTGTCCTCCGGAACCGGTACCAAGATTGGGGTACCAGTTCCAGAAGTCCTGACAATAACAGGTTTTCAGTTTTCTTATTCTGTTTAATTCCTTTTTGATCCAACTTTCCTTCCAAGTCCTATGCATAAAATTTTCTTTATTTTCAAAAGGAATAGGACTTTGTAAACCTCTATATAAACCATGTCATACACATAGGTTTATTTACGACTTTTGCACTATCAAGTTATTATTCTTAAAAGCCTTAGGAAGATTTTTATTTCAGAAATTCTTAAAGAATTTTTTATTTGTCTTTCTAGAACACATACACATAAACACATAGTGAGTTTAGAGTTGTGGTGTTCAAATCCTAATCGTAATCATACAGTTACATCTACATCGATCAGACAAAAACAGATCTACTTCTACATCGAATTCAGACGATTGAAGAACAGAAGTAAAAACGATCACACTTTGAAAGGGTTGGAGCATTCATGGATTGTTGTCTAATCTACCTACTACTCTTCTACAAATATTAAGCATAAGCCTAAGGTCAAGTTGCTATTGGACGGGGAGTCGCAATATAACGACCTGAATCCGAGAGTCCAAATTGCTAACAGGGTCCTTATCCGAACTCGTGGTCACCTAAAGACATTACCGTCCGTCAATATATAATATGCGTGTCATAAAAAAAATATAGTAATAACAATAATAATAAAATGAGATCATAGCTACAAAGTATGTCAAAACAGTCCACTGACCCATCGAACCCTGTGGAGAAGTATCGTCCGCAACTTCCTTTCCGTGTCCTAAAAAATGTTAATAATAAAGGGATGAGCATAAGCTCAGTAGGAAGTGTCTAAGACACACTTCTTATAACCCCGTGAATCCATACGAAGAATAAGTAAAGGCAAACAGGATCATGCCATAGGAAAACGCACATTCTCAACCACAACAACAAGTATGTAACAAATATCAATCAATCACAAGTTTACCACAATGTCATGAAGTGCAATATTATGCAAATGTCACCCCCCATTTTCTGAAATATTTTTGTTTCAACTTCCAAACCGTCAGTGTAATCCGACCCAAGGCACCTCCAAGGCGTCATGAATGGAGGGTTGACTAACTATCTACGACCACAAGGCACCTCCAAAGCATCGCATCCGGCCTAGTTAGCTCAACCATACTCACTTCTTGACTACACTAACAACACAAACCGCTAGGCGCCTCCTAGGTGTCCGGTTTTCACAAACTCCTTTGAAAAATATTTTTTCCCAAGAACAAATTTATTTATTTTAAAACATTTTTCCCCCTACTTCTTTCCCAATTAATGCATGAATGCTTCATGCATCTCAATGCCGTAATATCATACAAATCAATTCTAACAAATATTACAAGCTTATCAAGATAATTCTCATGAAAGAACAACATGTACATAAATAATCAAATTTTTTTGCCATTAAATATATGAATTTAAAACACAACCATTTAAGTATGATTCTCTATTCATTTTAATAACTATCTACTCACAAATCACTTTCACATAACAACCCACATGGATATACAAATTTAATATACAACTCTAAAGAAATTTCTTTAATGAATAATCACATTCAAGCATGTTGTACATTAATTATAGAAAAATGAATCACAAGAACCAAAGATTGAGTGAATTAGAACACTCCTATCTTGAAAAAAAAAAAAAAAAAAAGAAGAAGAAGAATTTTTCCTCACTAAATCATCAAAGCCTCAAGCCTCAAGTCCTGGCCTCCTCTGCAACTAGGTACACTCTTCAATGAAAATATTTTTATTCCTCAACAACTCTCGTTGATTGATTGAGAGAGAGAGAGAGAGAGAGAGAGAGAGAGAGAGAAAAACCTCTTGTTAATTGGAAGGTTTTCTGTTTTCTAAAATCCTTATGTACTAAAACTGAAATATTTATTAGTGAAGTTGCTTTCAAATATTTTCCAAGGAACCAAACAAAATTTTAGGACTTTCTTATTTTATTTTTGAGTTAAATTGTGAGGACCCATCTGTCAAACTTGTCTAATTGTGTACGGTTGATTGTGATTGAGTGTTCTTGCTTATAATTTGAGTTGAATACCCTATTGGGCTGAATACCCTAGGGGTTGGCTTACAGTATTTAGATGCACACACACTCAGTTTCTCAGCCATTTAATAAATTACAACAATAAAGCCAAACACTTGCTAATGACACATGTGCAATGCTACTGCACACATATCATGTTTGTGGATTGCAAATGAGTTGTGATTTGATCCTGTTGAGGTTGACCAACACATCTTTCATGCCACTTCTACCCTCTGCTAATTCTGAAGAACACTACATGCCTAATTCCAATGATGGCCAGAAAACAATTTTGTTGGTCATTCGTTAGTTCTCTCCCATTTGGTGTCCCCAACAGAGAACTGTCCACAACTTGCATTACCTTGTTCTAAGTGATGCATTCACCCATTACCTCAAACTCAGTTCTCCAACGAATATATTTTCCGTGGGCTTCTTTTTCGTAAACATTTTCAATAATATTATTTCGTATCTATAAACATTACTTTTCGTAAACATTGCTCATTCAGAACCATACTCTGTCGCACAATTAAAAAATTTCAAGAAACATAGTGACAAATTTCATATCTCACTAAAAATTACAATGTGGCCTAATATTCATGAACTTGGACTTGTTTATGAAAGATATGCTTCTTTTAAAAATAAAAAATAAAAATAAATAAATAGAGAATTAAAATCATAAAACTTCCCTATACTTTCAAAA